TTTGTAATATGTACAGTATGTTTGTGCATTCTGCAGAACAGTCTAGATTTCAGGTGTTGAGCAACTGCTTTTGCAGTAGAAATCCAAATGAAAAACAAATTGTTGTTCAGTTTCATCTTTTGCCTAAAGACGGGCAAAAATAAAGCTGAAATCACGATTATGGCAAATCACAAAGGCTGCTATTTAATTACTGTAAATGCAGGACACTGGCCCTCCAGGACCGAGTTTGGTGACCCCTGACCAAACCATTCGAAAGTTTGGGGTCGGCAAACCCCCCACCCCCCAACTCGTGCCCCCTCAAAAATAATGAGTGCATGACGCCCCTGTCTGGAGCTGTCGCACAAACATCTTCGTCACATATGTGACCCTGGACCACAAAACCAGCCTTAAGTCGCTGGGGTATATTTGTAGCAATAGCCAAAAAAACATTGTATGGGTCAAAATTATTGATTTTTCTCGGCCAAATATTGTCCTATCCTAACAAACCATACATCAATGCAAAGCGTATTTATTCAGCTTTCAGGTGAGTTATAAATCTCAATTTCGAAAAATTGACCCTTATGACTGGTTTTGTGGTCCAGGGTCACATATGTACTTTTATCTCTGACTACATTAGAATGAATATGCTACCTACTGGTGACTTATTAATATTTTTTAATCATCCACCAAATTATCATCTTTTCCTTACATTGCTGTAAGTTAATAACAATGCCACCTCAGCAAATTAGTTCTGTCAGGACCACTATCGTCAAAATGATTGACACTTAGCATTCAGTTTGGATTTGGCAGAATGGTTCTGTTCTGGGCAAAAAACTCCCTGCCCATCCATGCAGCCTGTAATGAATGAGCAGGGAGAGCAGCAATAACCCCACAGGGTAAACAGAACAGAACAAAGCAGATATCATTAATGTTCTTAATGATATTTAAGTGTAACAACATTATTTAAGATAAAAAGGAGTCGAATACAGAAAGCCAAGTCCTGACTGTGCCAAAAGGAAGAGTTGGGGATGGAAGAGGGTAATTTGCTCCTGAGCAAGTGATAAAAGCTGTTGAATAATACTGAATAGACCTTATATAGGAATGCCGTGATAGGCGTCGTATTCCTATAGGTATATGTGGATCAGCTGAGTCAGCCGATGCAATGCTATATGCTTTATTAAAACCACATTAAACTGAGTTCATGCCTAAGTAATAATATTTTTAAAATAAATATTATAAATAAATACTATAAAACTATATTTTACCTGATCCATATAATTTTATTTCATTTTTAAAATGCAGCTATTGTAATATTGTCTCTCTTTATTTTCTTTATGTTTTTAATAAGAAATTGTTAATAAGAAGGTAAAAACTAGAACCAGCATGAAAAAAATGCTAAAACAGAAATAAGAAAGATGTAAACTGCATCTCTTGTTCAAACTCGCTTGCTCCCAATCTCTCTTCCAACTTGAGAGTCCTCTCCACATTGGATTTTGGGAAATAGTGCTTCAGCAAGTGTACATCAGATGTACACTTGAAATCAGAGTGCACTGTGCGTATAAAAGAGTGAACGAATATAGGGAATGACGGTCACTCAGAATCCGGACGCCACTACAAAATGTCCAATACCCGATATAGTGCACTAAATAGGGGATAGGGAGCAGTTTCGGACACAGCTACTGTCGTAGTGCTGGCTCTAATGTTTCTTCTTTTTTTTTTTTTTAAGTAAAATGAAATATAATAGAAAATAAATACTACACTGCAGAGACATATATCCATCTAAAGCTGTTAATTAAATAGGTCTCACATGATTTATATTTTGATGAAGTGGAATGTAAGAAATTTTAATCTGCATTTTTGTTAACTGCTATTTAATCATTTACTCAAATCATATTGTGGTTCAATTCAAATCCTAAAATTGGTTTTCTTAGTATAACTATAACATGACATTCTCATTTACTTTACAAAACAGGCCATTCTCTTCCACACATTTTGCCCAATACTAACTCTGTCAAAGCTTTTCTCCTCTGTCATGCCTAACTGCCGACCATCAGTGGAAGTGATGTGGATTTTGTTTTCATCCAGGAACTCTTTAGGCAGGTAGCTCTGAAGAGTCCTGCGTAATCGCATAGTGCGGGAACCTGACAGGTCGTTCGCCCACAGATAATCTGAAAAGAAAAAAAAACATGCATATATCATCTGCATCTCTTCCATTAAAACGCTTGAAGTGTTGGCAATATGGCAGTTCACATACTGACTGAATGTGTCTGCAGGAGAGCAAGAGTCTTCCCTCCTGGAGCTGCACATAGATCCAGTACTGTGTGTCCTGGCTGGACGTCCAGCGCTAGTACAGGCAGCACCGAGGCAGCATCCAGAAGATAATATCCCAATATGCCACTGCTGTCAGGTCTAAGTTAACAGGACAGATATATCAAACATAATCAACTTAGAACAAGACAAAGGAAATGAGAATTTTTAGTAACCCTCACCTAGCTGGTTTAAATCTAGATATGTCTCCTTGGGGGAAAATAAGACATTTTATATCGGGACTTATACTGGGTTGAAAAGCAGCAGGTTCCAGCTCTGTTGAACCTCTGTGTGAGGTTGTGGAGTCATGTGAAGATGGATGGACTTCATTTCTGGAACAGTCAATAGGCCTACTGATGAAGTCTTTACATCCTCCAGCTTCTAAATCTATTATTACATTGGGTGCTGAAGAGAAGCTGTTTATCAGTGCTCCATATTTTTGTTCACACAGCATTGCAACGCGAATAGAGGGCCAAAGGTCCCTTAATTGTATACTGTAGCTTGTGTCAAAGTTGTGCAGAGCAAGTTCAGTGGCTGGGAACTTGGGCCTTGTTGCTGCCTAATGGAATACAGAGGAACATCTTATGTTATCTAGTACTGACACTTTGCTTTTATTTTGAAAATGAATGTAACCTCATTACTTACCCATTTTGTTTTAACGCGATACCGTCGCGGAATAAATCTAATCGAGTCTTTAAATTTGTTTATACAATATCTCGTGCATACGTACGCTGCCATGTTTGTGTTACATCAAAAAGCATCCGTTGTTTTTGAACTCATTGGTTCCACTACCGTGTTTTATATTTATCCACTATAATAATAAAGTTATTTAATTAAAAACCAAGACATCGTCAGATAAATCATCTAGCCAAGCAATTTCCCCAATAAGTGGCCTAATTTCATCCTTGAAGTCACATACTGGTTTCAATTATTATCTTATTATATTCGCGCATACAAGTGATTTATTGTGAATATATATATATATATATATATATATACAATTTAATCGATCAACAAATTATTACCAATGATATAATGTGGGTTTTTATAAAGCGCTTATAACATAAGAACGTTCCAGAAATGTTCTGTGAGCTCCTACTATTGCGAAGGCTTAACTCACGGATATTAACCACAGTCTATGATATTAACAAGTTCATTCTTTGACGTTGATTGCAGACATCCAATAACGTTCTTATTTAATAAGTCAAACCTTCACCATAGTAGAATTCGTAAATTCGCGTCTCTGTATATTTCCAGCACGTACTTGTTCATCCAGATTTCTCACCTTTATTGTCTTTATTGTGTGAATTTACTAGCATACAAGTATGGTTATTGAAAGGGAAAATATCACATATGGACAGCCTGACGAGGCGAAGGACGAGGTATGACTAATTTCAAGAGTTTTTGCTTTAGTTTAAAATGCATTTGAGAAGTTATGCAACTTAGAGAATTAGATAATTAAATTTATGTTACATTCAAGGACCTCTGAATAAAGAACAGAAGCTCCTGTTAAATATTGTAGCCTCAATAGTGTGTCATTTGGCCTTTAACAAAATATTTAGATCATCATTGTATTTAAGTACTTGATGTTTACATTGCAAAGACATTAAAATGGTTATATAAAACATTAAGATTTACCAATACCTTTTTGGTCCCCAAAATCGTGTATTCATAATAACTTGGTTATGTAGTATCATGGTACTAAATTTGTGCGGCTTGTCTCTTATTTGTAAAGGAACAGACAATGGCAGAGGAAGATGCAGGCGAAGATGGTGCTGATGAGGAGGAAGAAGAGATGGTGGTATGTTGGTATGTTAATACAATATTACCTAAAATGTATAAACATTAAATTCTTCTGTCATAAATCTGCTTTTTGGGTTCATTTTGAAAGAACTAAATAAATGCTGAACGAGAGGTGAATGTCATACAGATTAAACAGTGTCTGGCCCCCTCAGGACCCTACAGTATCTACAGATGCTTTAAGTGTACAGCACAAGCATCATACACATATTTACAGGTTAAGAATCTGCTGACAATATAACAGTTGAATGTGAGAAGACTTTTTTTTTTTAATGGCGTAGATCTAATTGCAATTACACACAGTCCCACAGGGTGGCAGTAGACATAGCATTTTTATTTGCTAGTTTCTTCTTGCTTTAATTTAAAATCTTCAGACACTGTGAGAAAGTAATGTAGCTTTAGCCTGTTGATAAAGAGACAATCCTTATTTGGATTTTGCTACAACAGTGATGCGAGTTAGTAAGAACGTGCCATGAAAGTGTGTTCTTCATTTGATTGAACCAATATTTGGCAGATATGCTTGTATGGATAACTGGATTATTAATTGTATATTGTTCCTAGAATAATGATCTATGGAAGAAAAAAAAAAGCATCTCACTGAAGCTGTTGAAGGGGGAAATATCTGTACTCTTTTCACTGCAATGCATGCAATTACAGGACATTGTGTACCACTTCATCTAAACTCAATAAGCTGGAATATTCAACTAAAACCAAATTATAAATATAAGAACACATTTCACTTACAATTAGAAAACCACTGCCACAAGCAAAAGGCACTGATAAAACTTTGCTCAGATAAAAAGCATGTAAACCTGATATTTTCAGAATCAAGCCAATTCATGTATAAAAACATAGAAACTTTATTAAAAGAAATGAATGGTTACATAAAACATGGTTTAGGCACATTTATAAAAATAAATAATCACTCAGTTGAAAAGCAGGGTATTATAATTTACCCAATAAGAAACACTAAATGAATTAAAAATGACTTCATGTCCCTGATGCATTCATACACACAGTGCATATGAAAATGAGAGCTTCACATCACCACCTCACCAACGGGAATTCTCCTTATTGCTCTGTCCAACAAAGTCATTCATTGAGGACTGGGGGAAGAAAAATAAATTACAATCAGAGACCTATAATAAACTTCCTAAATCAATGTAAGCCTTGTTGAAATTGGGCAATTTGAATTCCGAATACTGTAAAATCAACCAGTAATTTGAGCTTCCTAGGGGACTTTTATTAGCCAATCTAAAATCATTTAGATTCATCTTTTAAATTGTGCCAGTCTGACACAGAAATGGGTATTCATCTGAGGAACAGTGTGATTGTCCAGGGTGGACTTACCTGCATGAGGAGCCTCTCTTTCCTCAGTCTCTTATAGAAGAGCAGCACGTCCTGGTTGGCCTGCACTACTCGCGGATCAAAGTCCATCACACGCAGGCCTTCCAGACTCCGGGCCCGTGACAGAGCAACATAGGCCTGGCCGCTCTCAAACACACGTGCCAAAGAGATCTCCACACAATCCAGAGTCATGCCCTAAACACACCAAACAATCAAGATACTAGCCATGAATTTCATTCAATAATCACTTGTCTTTCATAGAAATTAGACTTTTTTTTTTTTTTAAATATGCTAGAAATACCACATTGTTTATGGTATTGGAACCAGGCTTTATCTCACTGTCAAAGCTAACCAAGACACAAAGCAAATAGGCAGGTTGCTCAAGCTAGCAAATTTGTTAATTTAGGCTACAAAGCTGCTAAAGCAGGGGTGTCCAAACTGTCTTGCAGAGTTTAGCGCTAACTTGCCTCAACACACCTGCCTGGAAGTTTCTCGTACACCTTGTAAGACCTCGATTAGCTGATTCAGGTGTTTAACTGGGGTTGGAGCTAAACTCTGCACGACAGTGGCCCTCCAGGAGCAGGACTGTACACCCCTTTGCTAAAGGGTGTATGTTTATCAGTAGGGAATTAGTGCTCTAGCTATAAGATTGGATCGAATTTTGACCCATTCATTTCAATTAAAAAAAAAAAAAAAAAAAAAAAAAAAAAAAGAAATTGTCAATTTGATGGTTGGTGATGTTCCGCGTATGTTTTTGTTTATATCTCTGTGCTCCCTGCTCTTACCCATGCGTGGCTTTGACGACAGTGGTCCTGACTGAACTAAACTAAAACTAATCTAAAATTGTAGCTCCAAGATATAAACCATTAATTTACCAACAATAGAACACCACAGTTGTTATAAGAGACATATTTTATATTATGAAACGCCAATAGTGACTAACCTTTTGCCAAAGTATTTTAGTTTCCAAGTTAAATTAAGTAAAATTCTCTTTTTGAACAAATTACTCAATTTTTCCCCTTTTTTACATTTTTTTATTAAAGAATATATTGAGAATAATGTTATTAACCATTTTTTATACATACAATTCTTGAAAAAGTCAATGGGAACCGAAATGGTTTGGTTATTCCTTTCCACAGAGAGAGCGAGAGAGAGAGAAAAAAAAAAACCTCATCCAAGTTTCGAACAACATAAGGTTAACAATGACAATTTTCATTTTGGGGTGAACTATCCCTTTAATAAAACTTTAATTATTGGTTTAATTGTAGGGATAAAACCAAATCAAGTAATTGATCTCATTGATCATCACTGTCTCCATATTACAATGGAGAGATTTAGACCCACATGGTTATACTGAGGAATTGATTTAATAGATTTTCCTCAGTTCCTCTAGTGAGCATTGGGACATAGACACACGCAATGTTTTCAAACATTTGCCAGACAGCTGAGGAGTTAAACAGCGATAATTTTGACAGTTCATCAGTGCAGAATGCACAGTCAGAAAAGATGGGTAAACATGGGGACTAGTTAATGAGTCAAAACACAAACCAAAACAATAGCCCTGAGCATCTGTTCACAGATAAATAAAAACACTCTTCCTAAGCAAAGTCATTTAATTTTAATAGCATTTTCAATGAAATCACATGATAATTTCCTCTAGTGCTCAAAACAATGAGATCAACAGCACAATTTTGTAAAATTAGATTTCATTCTATGCATTCAGCTGATGCAGGTTTGACTCAGTAGCTTACTACATATGCAAAATGACTCATGGTGGGACATGAGAGCAGAGCTCACCTGACTCTTGTGGATTGAAATGGCCCAGGCCAGTTTGAGTGGCAGCTGCTGTCGGCTCAGGTACAACCCCCCTGATGCTTTAAACATCCAACGCTCTCTCTTTATTACCTCAACAGCCCCGCAAAGGAATCGCACCCGAGGGAGTCCTGCAAGGGGAGGGGTGGTCACGAATGATGGTACGTCACAACATCTCACAGAATGTCTGTATCCTCTGAAATATGTTGATGTTCTATAACCAGCCAGGTACAGAATTTAATGAGTGATATTTGGGTAAATCTCATGAAGTCAGTGAAGAACGTCAAAAAACTGGATTGAAAACCCCATATTCTCATTACTGTAATATAATTGTTAAAAAAAATTTCAATTGAGTCTGTAAAATGTGTCTCTTATGCTCACAAAGGCTGCATTTATTTTATCAAAAACATAGTAAAACAGTAATATTGTGAAATACTAAAACAATTTTTTTTTTCCCATTTTAATATTTCCTTTCAAATGTATTTATTCCTGTGATGGCAAAGTTGATTGTCTTCAGTGTCACGTGATGCTTCACAAATCATTCTAATATGCTGATTTGCTGCTCAAGTAACATTTATCATCAATGTTGAAAACAGTTGTGCTGCATAATATTTTCTTTGTGGAAAGAATCATACATTTAAGGATTGAAAGAACAGCATTTATTTGAAATAGAAATCTTTTGTAACATCCAGGTCTTATTTCATGTACAATAAAAAAAAATAAAAAAAAAACTTACTCCAAATAGAAGAAAAACACATCAGCTTTAAACTGGTGTAAAAAAAAAAAAGCAAAAAAAAAGCTAGTACTATATTTGTACTACTGCCAGTGTTTTACTAAAATCAGAGTAAATCATTAAATTAGATCTAATTGCTAATTACATCCCAACAGCTGACGTAACAAAATACAATTAATCTAAAAGGTCCTAAAGATAGGCTTCCAGTTACTTTACACACAATAGCTTATTTTTCCTTCTGATTTTTTGTTAAAATACAACCTGGACATATTCTTATTTGAGATTTACCCATTTATTTACCAATTTTCATGAAGACAACGTGAAAGAAAGTGACAGAGAAAGTAAATATGATGTATAAGGGGAAGCTCCCATCACTGTTTTACAGTCAGTCGTACCTTGATTGCCTGGCTGAAAGTCAACCACTACTCCTCTGGCTCCATTCACTAGACCCCTCTGGACATCCAGGTTTTTAGTGAGCATGACCTAAAGAAATAAAAAGGTTCTTGCAACATTTTACATTACAAATCAAGAGCTAGTGTTTCCTAGTGGGGGTGTGAGGGAACACCTACCTGAGCTCCCACTTTCAGCTGTAAGAACCGACTCACTGGACTCTGTGCGTCAATGGTCCGAAACAGCATAGGGTCACTATCCACAGCCTCAAACACTCGCATGACCCCTGCAAAGGAAACACTTGAGAGACTTAGAAATGTGACATGTAATTTACATCTGTAACTGTCTGTAACTTACATCATTTTTTGTTTTTTAACAAGGTCCGTTTAAGATTTTATAATATGCAAGAAAAACAAGAGAACTGAAACAGTACAGTATATAATCAAAACAGCAGCATACCACAACCCAGCCCTTTACCCATCAGACATGAAGTATCAGTTACATTGTACAAAGACAAAAAAGAAGAAAAAAAAAAGAAAATCAGTTATAAATATTTTGGGATTGTATTCCCTACTTGAATTTCTCAACAAATGACAAGAAAGGTTCCCAGATTGCACAGAATTTCTGGGTACACCCTTAAAGAGAGTATCTTATTTTTTCCAGTTTAAGATATCGCATGATCTCTTTAATCCAATGAAGGTAAGTAGGGGGAAGGGCATGGAGATACATTTTTAAAAAACTAAATAAATGTACTCTTATATATTGTCATAGGTGGTTTCTAGTGACTTATGAATCAGATGAGAGATTTCTAATAATTATTTCCGTTTCCGGGATCTCACGCAATACCATTCACTTCTTCACAGCACTGACAGCGGTACCAGAACAACTACCACCTGATGCAACCAGCAAACCAAAAATCACATCTCACACATCTCCAGTTTGAAATGATATGTCTGTATGACTAACCTGGCAACTGTTTGAGTTTATTCTCATTAGTGAGCTCCACATCATCCTTGTGTGTGCACAGCCTGGTTGCTAGGATACCATCCCTCTCGATGCTGTGATTGGCACTTCTCAGTAGTTGTGCAGTAACTTCCTCTGTGACTCTACAGAATGGAGAGTCACTTTCACAATGAGATTAATCAAGATGATCAGCTGAATCAATTGACATCTTCATTGATTACAAGATGACGCTTGAAAGTTCCCAACTACAAGACCTATAAAAATTCAAATTACTCCTACAAGAACCACCTTAGGTTGTAGAAAAAAAAACTAACCCTGAACTACTACTAACCCTGGGACTGTATCCCAATAACACGCAGAGCCAGTGACTCACTGCACTGAACTGTGGATGCGGTGAGAACTCAGTACCTGCCCACTCTCACAGCCTGGAGGAGAGAGATGAAGGCTTTGTCTGTTTGTCTGCGCACCTCCGTCAGCTCCATGTTCATATGGATACACTTCCGCCAACTTCTCGACTGCAGGCAAAATGGACTTTTCTTATCTTATTCTTAGAAACAGCCAGTAGATACTCAAATGTAGTTATACACAAAGAAATGACCAAAACAATTTATGTCTCACAATTTAAAGTCCATTGCACTAACTTTGATGCTTTAGAGTTCATAAAGACATGCTAAAAGAAATCCATATGAATCTCTATGTATGTAATGTTTATGTGAATATAAGCCTAAATTAAATCTGTTCATCAAAGTGATACATTTTCTTCAGACGATTTAGTTTAAAACACTCGATTCATATGGATTACTTTTATGATTTCTTTATTAACTTTTTGAAGTGTCAAAGTTTTGGTGGAAAGGATTTGCAATGTAGAGACAAATCTTTCAGGATTTATTAAAAAGTTATTCATTTGCATTTTAAAGATGAAGGAAAGTCTTATGGGTTTGGAACATGAGGGTGAGTAAGTGACTTTTTTTTGATAAAATTTGATTTCCCCCCATTTCAGCACTGGTTAGTTCTCAACACAGTTTTAAAAAATGCTAAAAAAGTGGGCGTGGTGCGGAGCGGAGGAGGGGTGGGGGGGGTCAAGAGGGGAGACAGACAATACACACACAGCTTAGCGTTCTGACAGTTTCATTTCGCCCCCATCGAGTTAAAAAAATAAATGCACAGCCATTTGCACTCTGCATCAAAAACATATATGAACACGCTGTTGCACCTCGGAGAACTTTTAAGGCTTATTCTGCAGCGTTTATATAAGCCTTTTGATGGGTTGTGTCAGAGCTGTAAAAACGGTTATGCTCACCAAGTGAATGAATCGCATTTGTGCCTAACTCTTATTACAAAGCAAAAACAAACACTCTTCTTCGATCCATGAACGTTTCTCTCAGTTATTGTGCGTGATGTCATCTCAGACTCTTAAAACGTCTGTCATAGTAAATCAATCACAAATCACATGCAGTTGTGAATAATTAAGCGAAGCGTCTTCTCATAGGATAAGAACACACAGTCTCATGAATAATTTAATAGACACCGACGCGTCATCAATGTTCTATTAGTCTATTGCCACGTCACAAATTGTGACATCAACACAATGTAGATTCTAAACCCGGAAGATGAACATAGCGCAAAAATGCTTAAAATTAACCAGTTTTCTCCAACAGTTAAAATTATCGGATGCTAACATTGTCTTCTATGATGTGCAACACAAACACCTCTGCTAAAATCTCAGAAAAAGTAGTCTGGGGTTTCATGACCCTTTAAAACAAAATAATATCAAGACTGAACTGGACAAGCATTAATGATGCTTAAATGCTCGTTCACAATGAGGTCGATAACTACAATTATAATTATATAAGAAAAGTTAAGTATGCACAGCAATGACATAGAGGAACAATATAATCGAAATCAGAACCAAAAACTGATGAACAATAAAAACACTGAAAGCCAAAGCATTTGAAGTGGCCACTATAGCGTAACTGCAGCGCATGCTTATAATAAACAGAACATTGTCATTTGGTGGTGTGGGAACTAATATAGTTATCATTCTTGGTGTGAATGGGCCTTAAATGAGGAGTAGTACCTGAAAACAAAAGTTTGCCTTGTCCTTTCCTTTAGTTACAGGTGGAAGTTGAAGAAAGTCTCCACACACTATCAGTTGAATTCCTCCAAACGGCTCAGTGGATCTTCTGATGGATCTAGAAACATAATATACAAATGACACTTGTCTAATAATGCAACTCTGGGCTAATATTGAAAGACTTTGTATTGTTACCCTCCTTCAGAACAGGTGAGCATTTACAAACAAAATCAGTACTAGACTCTGATTTTTGAGAATTGTCGATGGATTGGTTTGAATTCAATTGCTATTCAAGGTCTGATCCAAATCACATTCAAATATTCATTTGCCATCTGGTGTTCATTTGGAGAAAATCCAGAGTGACAAAATCAGATGCAACTAATCACGTTAAATGAAATTACTAAACCATTATATATATATATATAAATAAATACAAATACTTAATTACCACATTAATCGATGTTAAATTTAATCTCAGCAATGTGGAAAATTAAGTGCACTGGAATAAACCGGTATCATGAACAGAGTTTTGAGTGTGGTTCACCTGGCTACGGCTTCCAGTTTGTCAAAGAACTCTGCTTCCACCATTGAAATCTCATCAATAACGAGGTGTTTGCATGATGTCCAGTGCTGCAGCACCCCAGGACGCTGAGCAAGCTCAATACATTGTTCAAGAGGAGCAGAGCCGGAACCAACACCTGATAACGAGAAAACAAAAATAACTCATATACAACAGCACAACTCTTTTTATAGATATGAGAAATGTGTTGATCATATGACAATTCAGAATTCTCTGTAGTGTGTACATAGTGAAATAAAACCAAGGTCACCTATGATCACTGTCTGGTTTGAGGTGAAAGGATACTACCTATTTCATAAAACATTTGCCATGAATAATTATATAGGAACAGCTTTCCTAATAAACACATGTAACATGTTTGCATTTGTTGGCAGTTGCATTTTTTTTTTAGAGACATGAGTGAAATTTTGTGAACGTTACTGACCCATTCCAGTCTGTATGAATGATCAAGGAAATGCATCAGGAGAACTGGAAAAAGCACTGCACTATAATTGATAGTCAGACTTGTAAATGTTTTCTAACCAGCAAAACTGTGCAGTGTGGTCCCTCCTATGTGACAAGCTGCAACACCAGTGCTCGCTGTTGCATACGTGCTTTTTGGAGGCAGAGAGCCTATAATCCTTTTGAGCAAGAATGACTTTCCTGTACCTAAAAATAAAGCCATGAACAGTGGTTTAAAATGCCATGAAATAAAAGACCTCAGTATAAAGCAATCATATGTGTGGCTATGAATAAATGAAAAAAGTACCTGCACTGCCTGTGAAAAACACATTTTTGCCACTCAAGACTGCATTGAGAACTGCAGTTTGTTCTTTGCTGAGCTTTTGTGCTACAGGCAGAACCAATACAGGCTTCTTATTGGAGTGAAGCACTTTAACCTAAAACAGACAAACAATTATTTATTTGGAAGGGACCAAGTACAATATTAAACATAAATGTTTCCAATTAATGCAATGCACCATATCTAGCCAATGGTTAATTTTCATCTGCAATCCCTTGATTTATGAACTTAGTCCATAATTCTGCTAAATGTATGACAGAAGAACATTACACCATCACACTGGCATTGTAAAGCTCTTTTCCCCTCTCTTTTAAGCAAATAGGTGAAAGGAGGCGATAATCTTAAAGGGGTCATATGATGCTGCTAAAAAGAACATTATTTTGTGTATTTGGTGTAATGAAATGTGTTTATGCGGTTTAAAGTAAAAAAAAAAAAGTTGAAGTTTCAGAATTAAACAATTTATAAAAAAATAAAAAATAAAAAATAAAAAAAAAGAGACATGATGGAAATATGATTTTGCTTACTAAAATTAATTGGTTTCTAAATTAACCAAATTTAATCAATATTAAAAAGTTATTTTAAAAGAAATGAACCTACTAAATTTTGTTAGATAATAATAATAATTTAATTGTGCTTCTAATTTGGCAAAACAAAAATGTAACAAACTCATGAAATGTGTCATGTACAAGTGGATGAACATACCGGACTAGTGTCACAATCAGGTCTGGGTCTTTTTACTTGCTTCCTTTCACCCAAGACCTTATTGACAGATCTCTCTGAAGGACCTTTGGGTTGGACTGATGCATTCACTTTACTTCTCAACTCGTTTGCTTTCTGCACATCTTTCAGCTGGAGAGGACTTAGGGTCTCAAAGGCTCTAGGAAGGCCAGCTCGTAGTTTATCCCGATCACTCATAGGCTTGATGCCTTGGGATGCCTGATGTTTGATGCTGAGCGTCTTCAGAAACATCTTCAAACGATCCGGTGGACAATCAGACAGCAAAACCTGCGTGTTTTCCGGGATGAATTTAACAGTACATTTACCATCCTTTGCAAAACGCGTAAAGAGCTGGAAATCACGCAGCATGAAGTTTTGAGGAGCTTTGCCATCGTGGACGCGCAAGACAATCTCTTGAAACTCATTCCGCCCTAATGTGACGGTGGCTTTGCGGATGAGCTGCCGTTTGATGGCTTGACCTGCAGGATTCAAGCGCTCCACTGCCACTGTGCACTGAAGCTCAGCTGGCTCAATGTGTCCCAACATTTTACCTGAAGAGAACATAGAGAACACAGCTTAAAGCATTTGGTTGATTTAACTTGTGACTTGATTAGTCATTTAATACCGAGTCTAGGTTTATAGAGGGCTTAGTTTACAGATTTAAGTCATTTGCGAAATTTAAAAATGATTACAAAAATAATATACATATTCACAGACGACTGACATTAATTTCAACTAAAATTTAAAGGTATCAAATGTACGTGTTTATTTAACGCAGAAGCCTAACTCACCTTTTTCATGCACTGTTTAAACAGCCAGTCACACACCAGCTGTTCATTCATTATGATGCGCACCCCACGATTTTCAAATAGTTCCGCTTGACAAAGATTGGTCAATAGTGACAAACTGCAGACCAATCAGACCAAAGGCATTTATCCAAAGGCAAATGCTATCCAATCACCGATTGTGCTTAAGCGGCGGACCCGCCTACGAGCGCGTGTGCTCCACCAATGAAACGACGTTGGTTTTCATTACGTCTCTTCCTTCCTGGTCTTCACAGGGACTGGTGCGTAGGGCTGTTCGATTCCGAAATTTTTGGAATCGAGTCCAAATCCGATTCCTGGTTCTGGAATCGATTCCAATAATCGATTCCTCACTGTTGTTTTCGACTCTTTTTCGATTCTTGTTTTTGTATATTGAAGGAACCTAATCTCACCATGTTGACTGCAGGAGGTCGTAGAATGTATCCTTCTCATAATATGAAGCTTTATTTGTAAAAAAATAAAATAAAATTGACGATACCTAAATTGTAATTTTGTCTGCTTTGCCCGTGAAATTAGTCATAGCCCACAGCTCAGCAGGCACATGCGTTTATCACATTAATTAAACAAGACATGAGATGTCTAAAATAAATGTGCACAGTTCAGCTGAATGATGAAGTTTACTATGACTGTATGCTTTGCACAATATTAACAAACTGTACACTGAAACAAAATAACCAGAACATTAACAATAACTGATAGAGCTCGTGGTTTATCTGTCAATCAGATGCGCTTTCGGCCACTGATCTATGCTCGTGACGTTTTATTTTATAATTATCATTGGCTGATAGAAATGTTTTAAAAAATAGTATTTTGATGGTAATAAGCATAGACATATTAAATACCTAGACGCCTCATTGGCCGCTTTGAGCCGTTGCTGCGATACGTCAACGCGTCCGCCATGTTCGTGAAGGCAAGACTGCCTTAAAAATAAATGGAGGTAAACGGAGGAGCTGCGTTTTTTTCTGGATAAAAACACTATAACGTTTACATTTATCAACCGATTTCAGAGTTTTGTGATCTACATGGAGTTAAAAATAACTCTGCCTCCAGTTATTTAGTTAGGTTTGGAAAATTTATTAATAGTCTGACACTGGTGGCTAATTAAGCTGTCAACATAAAGATTTCACATTTATTTTCGTGAAATGAAATGTGTGCAGCCTTCGTAGGATGCAGCCTTCCGTTTGAGAGGCACCCATAGATAAGCTTTGTTGAACTGAAAAAGGCTCTGAATGAGGAGTCGATTCCCCTTGATGGAATCGATTCCCAACGCCTCGGAATCAATTTTTTTCTTTCTTTCTTTCTTTCTTTCTTTCTTGCTACCAACATCATCAACACTTTAAACAAATGACTTTTCGAAATGATTCCAAGATTATTGGAGTTTATTTCACAAAATAAATAAATAATAGGCCTACTAATATCAGTGTTTAGTGTGTTGCTTGTCATTTCTTTGTAATTACTTGTTAAATTTACTAGCAATTTCTGAGTAATTACTGTTTCTGCACATGTTTTTTCCCCAGCATACATAAATATATAAGTAGATATGCCTATGCACATCCTTCCAGAAACAGTTGGCTAGTTCCCTATATATTTTAATATTATTGTTCATCAATAAACCAGTGATTTACAGTTAAGATTGCTTAATCTAGCTCATTTTCACACAGGTCAGGGTTTACTGTCTTTTGATTTAGTGGTGGTTAATTACATTTTCCAGTATAAAATATCAGTCATGGGTTGGTGTATTTCCGTAAACAAGAAGTGCTCTTTTAAATTTCCAGGAATGAGTCACTGTCCCGCATCATTAAGTCCCGTTCAGTACATGCAAGCTTTTCATTAATTTACATTCATTGGCAAGACGACAGCTGGCTGAGTTATGACGCTCAGGAGAGGTGGGCAATACCAGAATCCAGGATAACAGTAAGGACTGCCTTCACCCTGCACCCACAGCCCATTGAAGATTTAGTGAGATGGAAGAATATTAAACAGAACTACACTGAAAGATAAGGATTACGTTGATCTTGGACTTTCATTTTATTTAATTACACATTATCTGTGATATGCAAATAGGGTTATAAGTGAAACTTAACAGAGCCTCGGTTGCAAAAGTGTAATTAGCAATCATATTAGGAGTTCATGTCTAATCTTGCCTGACACTCGCCTCCCGAGCAAACAGACCTGCTTCACTAAACCTTCACATGCCAAGAGATCTTTGCCAAACACAAATTTTCCAGTCATAAATGTCCCATTAAAAATGCAGAACTGCCATGACAGAATTTTATATGACACAGTGTTATCTGCAGTATACGCTACATCAGCGTATATATTTAAATTGTATATGTTGTAAACTGTTTTATTTAACATTTCACAGTATTTTAGAAAGTGTTTTGAACAGTGTTTTCTAATGGACATTTACCAACCAGTTGATGATAACAGGAATTCTCCCTCATGACTGTGTATACCATCCAACCAGACTCATTACACTCATCATTATTTCAGAATGACTGCTGTTTGTGTAGATTTTTTTTTTGCACTCTGCTGACATCTCTAACGACTTCCTTCTGCCACATGTATCATGTGTAATGATCACACATAACTAGTTTCCAAGATACTCACACCTTGGTCCGCATTAACTTGGGCTTTCATGCCTCATTTATGAATTAGAAAAGTAAACTGTCTTGTATACTGTCACAAAAAAGGCCATCTGTAGACAACCACTCAGCATAAAAATATGTTTTAGAACACCAGCGATCATTATCATTCCTGCTTGGGTGAAATGTAAAGGGTACGTGTTTATGTGCAAAAATAAACGAACCAATGACTCACTTCACACTATTGACTCAACTCACATGCAATAGAGCATCTATAAAGAAGTAAAGAGCAGGGGTAAAAAAAACACGTTGTCTAGTTGAACTCTTGATCTCAGTCCAATGGACCTTAATCAGGTTAGACGCCATATTGAATTTTTAACCCTAAAAAGTGCAAACCCATAAAGAGACATCAGAAAATTAATTTAATGCTATTTTCCATCTTATTGGGACTCAAATAATACAATTTCATAATTTTTTTAAAACTTGACTCTTATGTTTGATTTTAATGTTTGTATCCCCCAGGATACGTTGCTCCTTTGGGGGTATAAATTCACTGGAAACAGAACACTTGTTTATCAATGCTTGTTACAGCATGGTTGTAATTCCTGAATGTTTTGGAGTACAGACTTAACGTTAGTCTCTTTTTAAAGAAGACACATAGCAGATTATTGCTGAAGTGAAAGCATTTCAACAAAAGAAAGTATAAAGTTGCTATAAATCTAAAATCTGCTATAAAATCAAAGCCATATGTCTAACCGATTTATGTTCCAAATTTGAAGTTGACATCACAAACATTGTGGTTCCTGTGAGATTTTCTTTGGGCACTATACCAAAAATAACCACTGGGTTACACCCAAACTCTATTGAATTTTTCTAATGCAGTTTTCTGTCACAAATCAATAATTTTCTGTCACAATATCACATCTATTACAAAACAGTCACCAAATATGGAATCTTGATTTTCTAAAAAAACCTCTAGAATAAACATACACTGAGTAAGATTAGACACTTTCATTACCGATTATTATTTTGGGCTCATTTTTCGCAGTTCTTTTTTTTCCCATCGAACTGATGCTAACAAGCTAAACTCCGCATTCAGACATTGTTCTAAATTTGCTGACAAACGACAAACCCAATTTCATCTTTTAAACACACTCTGAGCCATATGTTACTCAACCACCGGAGACTCAAACAGCTGTCTGCATCCGAACCGGTCCGTGTACGTTGCGTTCATTCATTTTTTGATTTAAAATTGAAAACAGAAACATGAGAAAATGGCATTTCGTTTTTTTAGAAAAGGGCATTTTTCTAACTTTATAAAATATGTCTTACACCTTTAACATTAAATTCCTGAATTTAGTCAATATTTGAAAAATATGACATCATAGGTGTTACCAATTACATCAGTACCAACCAAAGCCATCTTTGCACTGTGGCACAGAAGCTGCATCTTAAGTTGAATTTAGATGTATTTACACAATTAATGCTGCTCAGACGGCAGTAAATGCATTAACACAGCAATTGCATTATGGAATGAGATTAATGTTTTAAACAAAAACATTCTGAATAGCCTACAAAAATATTAAATGAGTGACAAAATGAAACATTTGGATACTTGAATTATGAAGGTTACATCTGCTGGTCGCTGAGGGAATACAACAGTATGGTGAGGGGCGTAACATTTCCATCTCACGCTTGAGGTATTCGGCCAATCACAACGCACTGGATAGCTGGCCAATCACAGCACACCTCGCTTTTTCAGACCGATGAGCTTTGTAAAAATCGCCGCGTTTCAAAAAGGCGGGGCATAGAGGAGAAACAATAATGTACAGTATGTGGAAAATAATGTGTTTTTTTTACTTTAAACCACATAAACACATTTCATTACACCAAATACACAAAATAATGTTCTTTTTAGCAGCATCATATGACCCCTTTAAGTCAAATAAAACACACTGTTTTGTGTCTAAAATGAAATAAATTCATACTCATTATTAATTAAACTGTACTGTCTAAAATAAAAGTCATGATTTCTGCGTATTCACACTAAAACCAATACCAATACGCAGCTTTGCCACACAGATTTTGATAACTGGACTGCTAAATAAAATGTGCGGTGCGACAAAGAAATAGACTAAAAGGGTAATGTGATCCGAGGTACATACATATTTCTGCAATAAGCACATAATACTCGCCATAGAGAAACTATGCCTACATAGAAGTAAACCCTGTCCATTTGTTAGTCTGGTTGTTTGATGAGAGAGACGGAATGCAGAAGTTACAATAAATACCTTAACAGCGGAGGACTCTTATTCTGTTGCACAGAAATCAAGACGGCACCGTTTCATTCTTGCTTGACCAATCAGTGAAAAGGGCGTTTAATTCCCTCCCACACGTGGAAATAGAACATTCAAGCTGTTTATCCATTTTCTACCCCTGAATGTAAAAACGAAAAATTAAGGCGAATTCTTGTCTTTTC